GCCTTTTAATGTGGCGATATACCCATACAAGTCTAATGCTAATTTCTTGATGAAAAAAAACAATGAAATAAACAAAACTTTATTTTAATTAAATGGCAAATTAAAATGAATAAATAAATTATGAAAAGCAGAGTCATTCAAGGCAGTACAAGTTAGAATAGAAAGATTATTATGAATTGATAAATAACAGCAAGTTTATACAAACACTGAGTGGGAAAAAAAATACAAGAAAATGGTAATAATTTTCATTGAAATAATGATTCATAATTGGTTGCTTGACTTATTTCCCTCATTACAGCAAGAGCTGATCTCTAGAGAAGGGGAAAAAAACAATTCCGAGTTAAAAAAGGGAAATGAAAGTTAATTTATTGAACAAAGTAAGCAATGACCTGTGGTCACTTGTTAAAAATTCTGTAGAAAGTCAGCTGATACAAAAATGATAGGCATGTGGGACAATACTTTTTATTTCATTGTCCCCATCTTCCTATCATAATTTTTAGCATCAGCCTTGACCTACGTTATATTTCAAGTTCAAGGCTGATCAAAATGAGACAAAATGTCCAAATCCTTTATCAAATGTTTCCCAGTACCTCACCATGATAAAATACAATTACAGAATAATTGAGTAAATCAAGACCTCATACTTGTCACTAAGTACTGTAAAACATTGGGAGCCTATGTTTCATAAAAAAACAACAACTTTAAATAAATGTTCATTTCAGACACGATGAAAAAAAGGAATGAGAATAACAACTTGCTAGCTAAGAGGTCTGTGTCAGTTTGCTATAACTAAGTTATCAGAGTTTCTTCAACACTTCACTAGTCATTGAATCAAACAATGAAAATAAAAAATAACTTTTCAAACAAGTTTAAATCTTGTGAGAGGTAACAAGAAATGGATAAGTTTGACCAAAAATCTCATGGAACAAATATTTGTGGCATGAGTGATAGGACGGATGCATTTTACTAGCTTCGTAATTTAAATAACATTTATGAAAGAGTTTAAATGTAAAAAAAAAGCAAGAAAGAAGTGATAATAAACACAACAACATTTGATAATATTCTCTGTTGACAAGATTCCCCGCTTAAGGTACATCAGAGTAGTTGTCTTCGTCATCCTCATCATCTTCATCTTCAGAATCATCGTCATCACACATGGGCTGGATGAATAAGATTTAAAATAAATTTCACTGAAGATCGCTCCCGGGGGACTAGATTAACCAGATGTAACAAGTAGTTTGCAAGTTAGCAATCCCCCACTTTCCATTTTATATACAGGGTTAGCCAACTCAAAACAATTTAATAGCTCTTTCATGTAATGCAGTGAAATCAGGCTAGATCCATCAGCTGATTAACTTGTGCTGGCAATCATACCAGGACTGACATTTTTATACAGATAAATTACATTATTAAATATTTAAAATCAAAAAGAAAAAAAAACCTGAGATTTTATATTTAAAGTTATGATGGTCTAAGTAGCCAGTAAGCCTGATAATAAATTAAAACCAAGAAGTGGGTTTTTATTCTTATGGGGTAGTTACCATTTAAGGATTTATTTATTATTTTTGTTCTACAATAACAATCCATTCCCCACATTTCTATATAGTAGCCTATAAATAATTGGAAAATGTACATTAAATTGTACGCTTGAAGTGTTTTAAATTATTTCTTCTTTAATTACAATACATTGTGAGATGTGAAACACTTTTGATAAAGCCCATCTGTTATACAAATTAATGTCCTCATCAAGTTTGCACCAGACAAGCTTATTTTCAGGACAGTGAACTCTTGCCAGTCCACTGTCCCACATCTGAGGTTATCCACCTTTCCCCATTGAAGTCCACAAATGCCCTGCCACTGAGCAATTCATTTCACTATCCCCAAGAATGTGATTGTTTCACTAGCTGTTCAGTGACATTATTTTAAAGTGCATCTTTGGTAGGGCCTACAAATTATTCCCTGAAAAGTTTCAAATCTGGTCCTAAATTTGTTTGGATTTTTTTTTATAAGGGAGGTAAATGCAAGCAACTATTTCTGTATGTTTAAACTGCAGTTTGTTAGTTCTTTTCAAGGATATCTAGGAACTTCAACAAAGATTTAATATATATGTTCATCCATGAGCTTCAACAAAGATTAAATATATTTGTTCATCTATGAGCTTCAACAAAGATTAAATATATTTTTTCATCTATGAGCTTCAACAAAGATTAAATATATATGTTCATCCATGAGCTTCAACAAAGATTAAATATATTTGTTCATCTATGAGCTTCAACAAAGATTAAATATATATGTTCATCCATGAGCTTCAACAAAGATTAAATATATTTGTTCATCCATGAGCTTCAACAAAGATTAAATATATTTGTTCATCTATGAGCTTCAACAAAGATTAAATATATATGTTCATCCATGAGCTTCAACAAAGATTAAATATATATGTTCATCTATGAGCTTCAACAAAGGTTAAATATATATGTTCATCCATGAGCTTCAACAAAGATTTAATATATATGTTCATACAGATTTTTATGTTATTGACTATATGAGTGAAATATAATTTATTGCAGCACTATGTGAAAGAAGCAGCCTATTCTTATATTACATTCAAACTCAATAAAATGAAAAGAATGCTGAAAATCGGAATGAACTGCAAACATCTGAACAGAGATGCACAAAGAAACAGGGCTAAAGTAATGCAAAAAAAAAGTAAAGCAAATTACAGAAGACCTTATCCATTTCGTTGGCTGTTATTTTTAAATTCACAATCCATAAATTTATACACCTTTAATAAATAACAAAAAAAAAAAGAAAAAAAAAAAAAAAAAAAAAAAAAAAAAAAAAAAAGTAAAGCAAAAAAAAAGTAAAGCAAATTACAGAAAACCTTATCCATTTCGTTGGCTGTTATTTTTAAATTCACAATCCATAAATTTAAACACCTTTAATAAAAAAAAAAAAAAAAAAAAAAAAAAAAAAAAAAAAGAAAAATGATGAAGTACTGTTTTTACTTGCCTTATATCAATGCACGGATGTAACTTGTATTTTGAAATGTTGAGCTCAACATTAACAGATGAAGCAACTTCAACTTTACTTACAACAAGCGTATTTAAATGGACATTAAATATCTGGCTGAGAAAACTCTTAAAAATCAGATTCCTTCATTCTCCTGAAAGGCACTATCTGAAAGATTTAGATGGTCAAAATAATGTAATTATTAAAATTAAAAAATAATGGCTCACCAACTGATGATGATGAGCAAGCTTCCAAGATAATGCTTAATGTTTGCAATGAGCAAGCTACCAAGATAATGCTTAATGGCTGCAAAGAGCAATCTACCAAGGTAATACTTTATGGTTGCAAAGAGCAAGTTATCAATATAATGCATAACAAAGCAGATCTTAAAAGCTCCTTACGCACAAAAAGAATCTGAGGAAAAAAAGAACATGCACAAAAATTTTGTTTTGTCCTTTTATTGAAAATGAAATCTAAAATTCCAGGCAGAAACTCACCCCTTGAATCCCAGGCCTCTGCGGCAAGGAGTACATGGTACTGTACGGCTGTGATGAGGAGCTTGTCATGCCCCCAAACATTGGTCCGGGCTCAAAGGATGGCACCGTTGATGTTGTCTGTGAAAAGGGGCTCGTCAGTCCAGAAATATCCATCAGCGCTGCACGAAATTGCTGAAAAACAAAAGACATTTGTTATCAATTTCTCGTAATTTTTGTTTGTTTGTAAATTAAAGTAAAAAATTTTTGTTGGTTTAAACACCACAAATAATAATGGCACCAGTTCATCAGTGTCTATATTCAGTGTTGAGGAACATTTGACGAAAATGAATCTTAATTTGAATCTGATATTAAAATATTAAAACCTTTGTTTTACAGTATACAGGTTTTGGGGCATGGACTATTCTTTAAGCTTTGTTCACAATTCCTATTTGTTGCAGCCACACATCTCACTGGTGACTCCATGTTAAGAATCTGCTGACACAGATATCCCACATAAATGTTAACACCTAGCAGCCTCTTTAAAGTAATAAATTCCAATTTTTTCTTTTAAATATGGTTTTACCAATAACCACCAATACAGGCAAACACAGGTAAAGTTTAAGCAAAAAATAATTCCTTAATTACCTATTGAGTTTTACAAAAAAGACACTGTTTCTTAAGTCTTCTCTTTAGCCTTGCCCACTCCAATAAAATTAAACTTAAATTTATATCACAAATGTTAATCTTCATTTGAAAATAAATAAGGAGGCTTCAAGCTTACTATATGTCAGAAGTTTAAATTGTGTGTCAGTTTCCATGGTGCAGATTACATTAAAAAATTTTTGCCAGTGTCCTTGGAACAGATTAAATTTAAACTTTTTGCCAGTGTCCTTGGAACAGATTAAATTAAAAAAGTTGTGTCAGTTCCTTGGAAGTTTAGATAGAACAACATTTTTTTGACACATTCAATCTTTGCAACAAATCTTAACTCCAGAACTCCCCAGCATTCCCTGTTACTGTTACAGTGCAGAGCTTACTGGCTCAGCAGTCTCAACTGGGTTCAAACCAATGGTTCTGGACTTGAGTTCAATCCATAGTAAAAAATTAAACAAGTAAAAGCAACACCAGCACACCAGGTGGATGGGACCTGTTAACCTTGGATGGCAGCTCATCTAAGTGAAGGAAAACTCTAAAATCAAAGCCAGAGATGGAATCCCATTGGCTAGATGAAAATTCAGACAACTCCTGTGAAGTGGAACGCATTTGGAGCCCAGTGAAAGACAGGAAAACACTGCTGGTCATCTACTGCATCCTTGCTATTTCCATTCATCCTGACCAAGTCTTGCTATTGGATCATACAGGCAAGGACGAGAGAGTGAGGCTTAAGAATTGAACAACTGTCCCTCATTTTAAGTCGAATGATGCCATAGCATTATCATGTGCCAAGGATGAACAACATAATGCAGTACTGTTAGAGTCACTTACATCCATGTCGGCATCCTCATCAATTCTCTGGGCTGCTTGGTAACACTTTGACAAATACTTGAGAGCTCTGGCATGAAACATCATCTCTATTTTGACATATTCACTGAGAACTGACTGGAGGGGGGAAAAAAAGTCATCACTCACCGCTGATTTTTGTGATTGAAAATAACTAAAATGTCTTGTGTTTAAATTGTTTTAATTCAAAGATGTTGCATTGGTAAAAATATTCATCTATGTTCTGAAAATGAATATGTACATTGTTATAAAAAAAAATTCCATTTATTTGGGTCAATAAAGAATATTATCTTGTCTTATTGTGAATGTGAATGTTAATTTTATTTCCAAAGTAATAATTATTACAGTTTAATAACTTGTAGAAAAAGGTTTCTTTCTTTATATTCATATTAATGAAAAATATAATGTTTGTTACAGCCTTGCTAAAAATTAAATTTTCATGATAGACAATTAATGCATTACATCTTACTAAGCTTCATGAATGCCAGGTGCCAAATTCCCTTTCTTTAAAATCTATAAGAACTTAAAAGACAGAAAGGACTAAACAAACTAGCCAATAAACTTTATTCTATAATTTTTTTAAACATAGAGAAAATATGAAGCAGCTTAAGATCTCGTTTACATCAGTTCCTTTTTAATAACATTTGAACTACCTTTAAATCTGAGATTTTCTCCTTTTCAAATCTATCCATTTCACTTAGCAACTGTTCCTGGAAATTCCCACTCACTTGTCTCATTCTTTGTAAATATGCCTGAGCCTAGAGAAAAACGAGATGAAAAAAAAAAACATTTGAAAATAAAAATGTGTCTATGACCAGCTGTCCACATAGTGATAAGAGTCACAATTTATGATACGAGGCGACAACTTATAATAACTGCTCCTAATATACTTTTTGTCATTAAAATAATCCTTCTACATCCCTTTTGGTTGTTTGACTGTGAGACACCTTTTCAGGACCACACAATAGTCATACCTTTACCTGGAAACTGTTAAAGAAAAATATTTTCAAACAAATATTTAACTTTATATAAACCCTGATTGTAATATTTATAATACTTATAGAGTAATAAGATAATATCTTTAACCCTCAAAACAACACCTGACAATTTTTCAAGACAATCAAGTATCAAATTAAAAAAAAATTATCCTCTTTTCCTTTCTTTATTTTTATTATGTTGGTCTGGCAACAACTATGCCATTATCTTTAAGTAAAAATTAATTTCCTAGAAAAATATTGAAAATGTTGTATAGATAAATCTCACATTATTTAAATACAGGTCTACCTGTTGGAATGGTTACTTTCACAACTAGCTTCAATTTCTAGCTCAGTAGTTTAAAAAAAAAAGGTTAAGAATAATTTCAGTTAGTCAATTTTGCTCCAGAAAAACCCTAGAAATCAAGGATACAAGTTCTGAGCTATCTGCTGGTCCTTTTTGCTGCAGTTTTTCCAACTTCTCCAACTGTTTTGCTTCACTTTTTGTGGCATTTTGGTTACTTCGCACACTGGACTGCAATCAGAAGATGTGATAAGTTATGTAGCCTTTTCTCATAAAAATAGAGAAATAAAATTAAATAATTTAATTTCATAAAAATTTAACACACTGGCTAACATTTAAAACTCACTTTCATATTTTTACAGATTTTTCCATATCGTGTGAGTGGCTTTAAAACTTTTTCTTCCAATCGTTGAACCTGATAAATAATGAGTCAACGTTTTTTATTTATTAACATTACTAATAGCCGAATAAAATTATTTGAATTTAAAGTATTTCATAGACTGGTTTATTAACATGCCAAAAAAAAAAAAAAAAAAAAAAAAAAAAAAAAAAAATATGAAGCAGCTTAAGATCTCGTTTACATCAGTTCCTTTTTAATAACATTTGAACTACCTTTAAATCTGAGATTTTCTCCTTTTCAAATCTATCCATTTCACTTAGCAACTGTTCCTGGAAATTACCACTCACTTGTCTCATTCTTTGTAAATCTGCCTGAGCCTAGAGAAAAACGAGATGAAAAAAAAAACATTTGAAAATAAAAATGTGTCTATGACCAGCTGTCCACATAGTGATAAGAGTCACAATTTATGATAGGAGGCGACAACTTATAATAACTTCTCCTAGTCTAAGTATACTTTCTGTCATTAAAATTATCCTTCTACATCCCTTTTGGTTGTTTGACTGTGAGACACCTTTTCAGGACCACATAATAGTCATACCTTTACCTGGAAACTGTTAAAGAAAAATATTTTCAAACAATAAATATTTAACTTTATATAAACCCTGATTGTAATATTTATAATACTTATAGAGCAATAAGATAATATCTTTAACCCTCAAAAAACACCTGACAATTTTTCAAGACAATCAGTATCAAATTTAAAAAAAAAATTCTCCTTTTTTCCTTTCTTTATTTTTATTATGTTGGTCTGGCAACAACTATGCCATTATCTTTAAGTAAAAATTAATTTCCTAGAAAAATATTGAAAATGTTGTATAGATAAATCTCACATTATTTAAATACAGGTCTACCTGTTGGAATGGTTACTTTCACAGCTAGCTTCAATTTCTAGCTCAGTAGTTTAAAAAAAAAAGGTTAAGAATAATTTTAGTCAATTTTGCTCCAGAAAAACCCTAGAAATCAAGGATACAAGTTCTGGGCTATCTGCTGGTCCTTTTTGCTGCAGTTTTTCCAACTTCTCCAACTGTTTTGCTTCACTTTTTGTGGCATTTTGGTTACTTCGCACACTGGACTGCAATCAGAGGATGTGATAAGTTATGTAGCCTTTTCTCATAAAAATTGAGAAATAAAATTAAATAATTTAATTTCATAAAAATATAACACACTGGCTAACATTTAAAACTCACTTTCATATTTTTACAGATTTTTCCATATCGTGTGAGTGGCTTTAAAACTTTTTCTTCCAATCGTTGAACCTGATAAATAATAAATAATTATTTATTAACATTACTAATAGCCGAATAAAATTATTTGAATTTAAAGTATTTCATAGACTGGTTTATTAACATGCCAAAAAAAAAGCAAAAAAACAAAAGTTAGCTAAATTTCCAATTAACCTTGCATAGGAATTTATAGATGAAAAACATGGTTTGTTTTTTATGAAATTAAGCATTTAACAGACTAGTTTTTTAATCGGCCAAAAAACAAAATAAATTGTTTTTAGCTACAGAACAGGTTTTTAGTAAATTTTAGTAAATTAATTAATGTCCAATTAAACAAGCAGATAAATTTCTAGATTAAAAAGATAGGGTTTATTTTATATGAAGATGTGTACCGTAGCACATAAAAACCCAGCACAGGAACATTCTAGTTGACCAAGTTATGGGGCCCACTTAAAGAAGTTTAAATTATACATCAGTTACAAGCCACAATCAATGGGACTGGCATGCCAATGACATCCATATACACAAACCTCTGCATGTCTGTAATCTTGTACAGCTGAAAAGTTCTGTGCAAATGTAGTAAGATTTACTTTGGTAGACCCGTTAATTCTTTGATTATCAGCATATTCTTTTAAATGTTGTGAAAACAAATCTCCTGAAAAATTAATTAATAAAAAGGAATTATTGTAGAAAACAACATATTGCATTTTAGACAAAGATATACAAACACTTCAAAATTGTAGCTAAAATTGGAAAGAGCCTTGAATTCTGCAAAAAAAACAAAGATCTCAAATTTTAGTTTGCTTTTAAACTGCTTGAATTGTAATTAGATAAGCAATATATAATTTATCCATGTTATGCTATTTAATAATTTCATGACAAAACAATTAATAAATCTATTCCTATCTCACAATTAAAAAAAAAATAAAATATTGCTAGTAATTAGCTCTAGTCTAAACATATGATAAAATGAGGTGCTTTTAAGCTTAAGACTTAACTCTGACTTCTCTGAGTCTACAACTCTTTTATTATTCAGTTAATTTATAGTCTGTGTCAGTCTGCAGGAAAATAATTGCATAATAACATACAAGTACAAGTAATAGTGACAAAGCAAAATTGAGTGATACTGCAAGTGTCCTTGATTTATATGAGTCTTGAAAATTAAATTTGATTACAAAACTTCAACTAATTGACCTTTATCTCTCAATCTAGCAGATTTTCGAATGACCGATCCTAAGGTATCACACAAGAGACCATAGTATTTTTCAACCAGAGAAATCCTTCCTTGAGCAAATTTAACTTGGTCTTCCCTGAAAAAATTTTTTTTTAAAATCACAAAATTTAAGTTTAACTTTGAATAAAATGTAGGAATGGGTCTATTTTAAGAGTACAATTTATTAAGTTAAAATTTCAATTTCAATCATCTTGAATCTTGAAGTCATTAAAGTTGAAGTGATAATCAGTTACCCTACAAAATGTTTAAAATTTATAATGAAATTATTATACTAATTTTAAATTTTAATTATTGTGTTGTAGATTGTAGGAACTATGACAATGCCCATCCACTCCTCATTATTATAAATTATAATATAATATTATAGTTAGAGGCCAAATTATTAAAATAACATTATTTTAAAACACTATACACTTTACTGTAATACGAGGTCCCATTTTGCTAAATAGGTAGTAGGATGAGACTATAGGCCTTTTGTATAACAGTTTTCCTAATTACTTTACTATAAAACTTATTTAAGGCCATAAGTAGGCATAGGCTTTATTATATTATAGTTTATATGACTTATACTATAACTTTAATACTATGACTTAAGCAAAGCCTACTGACCTACTGAGAGAAAGATTATTACCAATTATATCATAAGGAATGGTTAGGCTTGATTAGGAGGCCTACGCTTACTGATAGATCATGAATCATATTATGAATGCTCATAATATGATTATGCTACCAATAAGTGTCATTATATGGGCCTAAATATAGGCGCCCTATATTTATAATTTTGAATTTACATTTAGCTTAGGCTTAGGACTAGGCCCACTAAGCCTACGTCTTTAATATTAAAACAAGGATTACATTTGGTAGACTAATTTTAAGTACTAATTATTAAAGTATTATAATTATACTTGGACTTGCAGTACTAGCACTATCATTATTTATAACTGATTTAATGACAGCTTAACACGACTTTTCATTTGGCTCTGGCATAAAGTCAAGTCCTGTGTGGTTTGAAAAATAATTTAAGTTTAAGTGTAAGCTTCTCGATTGTAATGTAATCAAAATCAAATGATATTTTAATTAATTTTTTAAAGTTAGTGGTTGGAACAATTACTTTGTAAATTAGGCCTACAGAGTATATAAATTAGAACTTGAGAACTAGTTACATATACTTTTAAATAAAACAGGCAAATAAAATGTAAATCTGTATAATATAATTACTTTAAACTATTTTCAAATAAATTATCTTAATATGAAATGTTAAATAACTTTCTTTTAAAAATATTTTTTTTCATGAGAAAATCTTAAATTCTATATCTTTTTAGACTGGCTTCTTGTACGCTGTTGTACACCATACAGTATGATACAAAATTTCTAAAAATATATTAGAGATGTAATAAAAATCCTTACTTTAAACCTATTTGAAAGTAACACAATATTTCTTAATTTCGTGGATTCAAAAAGAAATTAGTTTAAAAGTATAAACATTATGATTTTTAAATTATTATAAAAATATGATTTTAAAACTGGGTTATATTTTGACATTTTATAACGAAATTTAAAGTCAAGAGGATTAATTTAAAATATCTATTGAAATTTAAATGAAACAGTGGTCTGGCCAAATGGGGAAAAGAGCTCTTCTTAGATAATAAGATACAAATAAATGAACGATTGTAAGAAGCAACAGTTACTTTTTAGTTTTGTAATCGTTTGATAATGAATAGTTTCACATTTATAACGTTGTTAGTGACTATTGATCAAGGTAAACAATATGGTTGAACAATAAAATGCCTTAATGTCGCTCAAAGAAGTGCTGTCAATTATAACGGTTTTCATTTTTTTTTAAATATCATATTCATATTTGAATATTAAGTAGCTAATAAGACGACCCCCTACTTTTCCTGGGTAATCCTTTATCATTATCATATGGCACATGGCTTAAGTAGAGGTGCCATCCGACCGTCACTGTTATTCTAAATAAAAATTAATTTTAATAAGTACATTTTGACTTCATTTCTACAACCCCATCCGGACGAGGTCCCAGCTAGATATAGCAACCCTTTATATAAAAGTTCAATTATAGGACACAAAGATTCTTGTTATTCTCTCCCCCCCCCCACCCTGTTCAACATCTTCCTAGAGAGAATTATGTCAGATGCTCTGGAAGCGCATGAAGGGACAGTCAGCATTGGTGGCAGAACAATCACCAACCTACGCTTTGTGGACGACATAGACGGACTGGCTGGGAACGAAGAAGACCTAGCCAACCTGGTAAAGCGTCTCGATAAAACCTCGTCGTCCTACGGCATGCTAATCAGTGCTGAAAAGACAAAACTGATGCCAAATAACACCACAGACATCACCACTGAAATTAAGGTCGGGGGGGGGGGGAAAGACTAGAGACTGTATGCCGCTTCAAATACCTAGGAGCAATAGTCTAAGAAGAAGGCTCCAAGTCCGAACTGATGTCCAGGATTGCGCAGACTACAACAGCACTAAAGAGGCTCAAGAAAATATGGAATGACAAAAATATAGCCCCCAGCACCAAAATCAGGCTGATGCGCTTATTAGTCCTCTCAATTTTCCTGTATGCCTGCTAATCCTGGACATTAACAGCCGATCTTGAAAGGAAAATAAAGGTGATGGAGATGAGATGCTTCAGAAGCATTTTTTGCATCTGCTATAGGGACCATATCTCCAATGAAACAGTGAAAGAAAGGGTTCGCCGGGCAATTGGGGAGTACGATGACCTATTGGTGACTGTGAAAAAAATGCAAACTAAAATGGTACGGCCACGTAACAAGGAAACAAGGGCTTGCCAAAGAAATATTGCAGGGCACCACAAGAGGAGGGAGAAGAAGAGGAAGACAAAGAAAAATATGGGAGGATAACATCAAAGCGTGGACAGAACTAACACTAGGCGATGCTGTGCGCACTCCAGAACACAGAGACAAATGGAGGAGAATAGTTCACATGTCATCTGTGGCGCCCCAACGGTCCATGGACTAAGGGACATGATGATGATGAATCACGGCTGAGACATTTTTACACTTTAATAGATAACTTTTAAACTAATAAAGTTACTTCAATGACATTTTCAGTACAAATAGATATTGAAAATCCAAATGTAATGGGATATTCAAATACTACAAAAGCAATTCAAATTTTGCTATAAAAAATGTCTTCTAATCTTATAAAAAACATTTTTAAACATAACTTTAAAAATTTATAATGCTAATTCAAAGAAATCTTCAGTACAAATAGACAGTGACAAACTAAATTTAATAAAGTATTCAAAACCAAAAAACCTAATTCAGAACCTTTTATATAAAAGTTATTAAATTAAATTCCATCTACTTCGACATTATTGTTCCAGTACATTTAAATTAAATACAAAACAAAAACATCAAATGCTATACCACAGTCCACAGCAACAGGTAGTGTTATTGTCCACAGCAACAGATAGTGTTATTGTCCACAGCAACAGATAGTGTTATTGTCCACAGCAACAGATAGTGTTATTGTCCACAGCAACAGATAGTGTTATTGTCCACAGCAACAGGTAGTAAGTATCCTTGTTGTGAGCTAATATTAGAATTTAGGGAGGAGTCGGAGATAATAAGTTATAAAGGGGAAGCCATCACTCGGTGGTTAGAAAAAAGGATAAGCGAAGAGAGGGAAGAACGGAAACTCCAGCTAGAGAGGGAAGAACGGGAACGTGTTAGAACGCAATAGACAGCTAGCCGAAGAACTAGCAGAGCTAGAAGAGAAAATAGCACGGGAAAATCGAGAGTGGAAAAGGGACCTAATAAAGAAGCAAGAGGCTGAGGTTGAGGCATGGAGGAGGGAGGAAGAAAGGGCTGGGAGACCTGTGGCTAGGGTAGGTAGAAATAACGTTGTTAAGGAAACTGGGGAGTCTTTAGTAGAAGTTGAGGACCGTAAAGTTATTTTGTTAGGCAAGGAAAATGAGTTAAAACAGAATAGTGTCGATATAAATTGTTACAATCCGGACGATAGAAATGACTGGTCAGATGGCCTGAGAAGGGGAAAGAGAGGATAGTGATTACATGACAGAAGGGAAAAATAACGGATTTTTTAGGTGGAATCATAAGAATAGTTGGAAAAAAATAGATGAGGTCAATAGTAGAGGGGATGAGCTGAGATGGCGCAGAGAGAGCAAGTCATGGGTAGAGCTGGCAGATAATAAAAATAAAACTGAGAAGGGGGACAATAGGAGAAATGATGAATGGGAATTTTTTCAGTTTGGAATAGTAGAAGAGCATTTTGAAGACACAGGGGCAGATAAGAGGGGGATTGTTCCTTTGGATAAATTAGAAACTTGGAAAAATGATAAGGAAAAAGTTATTTTGTTAGCAGAGGAAAAAGAGGTAACTGAGAAAATGTCAGATTTTGTGGAGGAGATCAACTATCCCGATGAAATTAAGGCAAGCATAACTGAGTGTAGGGGTGAGGAGTTTTTTTAGTTTCGAGGGAGGAGGTCAGCATAGTTGAAGCACACTATGTAGAGGTACAAGGCGAAATAGAGTTTTTAGGTACGGGTGTTGTGTGTAAACACAGTGATATAACTTCACATGGTGATTTTGATATGGAAATTAAACATGAGCCCGGTGTTAGTGATGTTCCACACTTTAATAATAGTAACAGTTACTATCTTGATGAACAAGATGATTTTGATGCAGCTTGTGCTTATGGTAAGGTGCAAGAGTCGGTTAATATACAACAGGGAAATTTAAATTTTTTACTGAAAAGAGATTTTGATTTAGTGCAAGAGGCAGTTGTTGATTTTGTGAGTGACGAAAGTGTGTGTTGTGATTTTGAATGTGTCAAAACCTGGACAAGCTACGGTGAGCACGACGTGCAGGGCGTGAACTTGTCAAGGGCAGTCCCGAGAGGGGGACATAAGGTAAATAAAGTGGAAGTCATTGGTAATGACCTCAGATGGAGCTACGAGGGTCGTAGTCCACACGCTGAAGTTAGTGGTGTCACTGGTTGCTCGAGGTGTGAGAGCCGGTGTAGTAGTGGGTCTGGTTTAGACTCAGACAGTCTTGTTGTTGACCGTT